GTAAGGTTCGCATAGCGATCCTACGATCTCGTTCCAAGTGATCGATAGGAGAGGCTCAATGTTCTCGGCCAGGTACTAATTTCTCTGCTGTTAACAACGGTCAGCGAGGATCAAATTCTACATTCGTACCCTTAGGTACAAATAACACCCCTGCTTCAAATTCTTCATCTATACCTGCCGATAACAATATTCAGCAAACAAATGGAGCTACACATGCTGCTATTGCAGCTGGTAGAAATCAAAATACTAGACAACATGATTCTAACGGAAATTTTGATAATTGGGACTTAGGAAGCTTTACTGCTCCTAAAATGGAATTTTTACAGAAATCATTAATTGGCATGATTACTGATATGCTTAAAACTAACTCCCTGTTTGATGCTATTCAAACTGGAGTAAAATTTTTAAACAATATTGCCATGACTTTGAAAATCAGTAATGGATTTTAAATCATTAAATATTTTTAATCGGAATGCTCAATCTCTTACAGATTATGAGGATGAGCTATTTAACTTTTTGAGAGTTCATAACCATTCATGCCGTTATGATTGAAACGTTCCTGTAACCTGACCATGAGGTAAAAAGGGACAGAAATTTATTTAATTATCGAAATAATTGTCTTGATGGAGCCTGTGGAGGCGTTGCCATCATTGTTCATAGACGAATCAAACATAACATTATGTCTTCACTTGAAACCAAAGTTTTTGAAACTTTGGGAGTTTCTGTTGAAACAAAGTTTGGACAACTTACGTGCCTATTTGTCATTCCAACGCGTAGGCCAGCAAAAGAATTTTCTCAGAGGTGACCTTCAGTAATTTACCCATCGTAGGTCTAAATTATTCATTATTGGTGATTTTAATGTGAAACACCGCTCATGGAATAATGCTCAAAGCAATTCCAATGGTAATATTCTGTTTGATGATTGTTCTGCAGGTTATTACACTATTCAATATCCAAACAGCCCAACATTCTTTTCTTCAGCAAGAAATCCCTCAACTATTGATTTGGTCTTAACTGGTTCATGTCAACTTTGTAGCCAATTGGTTACCCATGCTGACTTCGGTTCTTATCACCTTCCAGTAACTTTTGAAATATCCCAAGAAATAATTTCTAATCCCAACAGCTCTACCTTCAATTACCATAGAGCTGATTGGGAGCAATATCGAACATTTATGGAATATAACTTCGATCCAAACATTCTGGCGGGATTTGCAAAAACAAATTAAAAAGCGATTCTCTGCCCTGAGGAACAACACTTTTGAAAATAATGTTTCTAAATTAGAACCGAGTTCCAAACCTTTTTGGAAAATCACAAAACTTTTGAATCAACCTCAAAAGCTTATTCCAGCGCTGAAAGAAGTTGGTAAAATTTTGATCACAAATTCAGAAAAAGCTCAGAAACTTGCTAAGCAATTCGAGAGTTCCCATTATTTCAGTTTGGGTCTTACTGGTTGCTCGAGATTATCTGAAAATTTTCGCTGGGAAAAATATTTTTGATGATTCTTTGGATGAAGTTAAAAGTTTCAAAAGGCGATGATGGAATTTTCTATATCCTCATCGAAAAACTTCCAGAGAGTACTTTGTCTTTCTTGGTAAAAATATTTAACAGATGTTTTCATTTGGCATATTTTTCTGATAAATGGAAAAATGCAAAAGTTGTTCCAATTTTGAAGTCGGATAAAAATCCAGCTGAAGCTTCTTATAAGTTTGCTTTCTTCAATAAGTAAACTTTTAGAAAACATAATTTTAAATAGAATGATGCTTCACATCAATATGAACTCAATTTTTGCAGATGAGCAGTTTGGATTACGCCATGGGAATTCAACTACTCATCAATTCTTAAGAGTTAACAATTTAATTCGTTCAAACAAATCTGAAGACCACTCAACTGGAGTTGCTCTTCTAGACATAGAAAAAGCATTTGACAGTGTTTGGCATGAAGGTTTGATTGCTAAATTGGCTGTTTAATTTTTCACTTTATATTATGAAATTATCTCAAAACTTATTTAACTGACGGAACTCTGCAGGTAAATTATCAAAATTTGAAATCTGAACGACTACCTGCTACAGCAGGAGTTCCTCAGGGTTGCATTCTTGGGCCTATATTGTATAACATATTCACTTCGGACCTCCCTGATTTGCCTCAAGGTTGCCACAAATCTTTGTTCGCTGATGACACAGGCATTTCCGCTAAAGGAAGAAGTCTTCGTGTTATTCGCAGCAGACTACAGAAAAGTTTAGATATTTTCTCTTCTTATTTACAAAATAGGAAGATTTCTCCCAACGTTTCCAAAACTCAACTTATAATATTTCCACATAAGCCTAGAGCTTCGGTTTTGAAACCTAGTAGTAGTCACATAGTCACTATGAAAGGAGTTCCAATTTCTTGGTTAACTCAAGTGAAATATCTTGGATTAATACTTGATCAAAAATTAACTTTTATAGCTCACATTGAGGGCATTCAGGCCAAATGTAACAAATATACAACATGATTGTATGCTCTTATAAACAGGAAATCCAAACTTTGCCTGAAGAATAACCTTTTAATATTTAAACAAGTTTTTAGACCAGTCATGCTTTATGCTGTGTCAAAAGAAGCCAATGTTGTTGCACTACCAGGAAAAAAGCACTTCAAAGGATTCAGAACAAAGATCTGAAGATGATTTGAAGTTGCCTCCCTGGTACAGTACTACCCAAGTAACAATTCAGTAACAATTTGGGATCCACTCTGATTTATGATGGTTTTATAACGGCAATGAACAATCCATTAAGTATAAATACAGCATTTGAAAGTGTAAAATATTCCTGCTTAGTAATTCTGCTTTTTGCTGTTTTAAAAACCTTTTATAGTATGGCAAGAAAGTCAAAAACTGCGTTGTTTTAAAAACAAATTTAAAACAGTTCTCAATCCCTCCTTTAAACTGTTCTGTAATTCAAGCATAAATGTCATTAGAAGTTGTTTATGAATGTCTTGATAAAATTATTAATAAACGTGTTCTATCATTATAAAAGCAACCATAAAACAATTAAGATTTGCATTAGAGCAAAAAGCATTTATTTTTGCTTTTTAGGCTTTTTAAAGTGCATCTTAAACTCCCCAATTATTCTGTTTACAAATTGAGCTTAACGATGGTTTTTCATAGTTAATAAAAGCCAAATTTATGACAAGTAAATCTCGAAAGATAGACGGAATAGGATGAAAAATTCATGTCAATTTCGGCAAAATTTACTTCTTTAGAAAAACCAGCACACCATCAACGACTGACCATCTGGCGGAGAAGAGTAAAGTTAGCGTGGAAAGTTTAAAAACATACCAGTCTTCTCCAGATTTTGCGAATAGATGACAACCGACAGCAAACCACTGAACCTGTTAGTTAGCGGAGATAAGCTGGTTTCCGATCCATAGCAGCGATTTTATTCGGCGGAAGAATTAACTCTCCGAAAATTTCATTCAAGCGTACATCCCTGCATCGTTGGATGGTGCACTTCTGTAACCATTCGGAAGAAGGGGATCTTTTTCGGGAACGATTGCGCTTCCAACTGTTCGAAATGCAAAATGTTGTAAAACAAAAACAGTACCGCAAACTATCTGAGTAACTGCTCCCAATCCATCGGGAGAAAACCGCCTGGAAGAATCCTGGATCCCACAGCGCAAATATCGAAAGATAAACAAACTTTGACGTTTAACTTTTTGCAGGCTACTTCACCTCCATAAATTCTGCCATAAATCTGAACGGGTAAGGATCAAGTAAAATGGCTATAGATAAATTCAATACAGCCTGCAAGTTTTCTTCATAAAAGCCATTTTAAAACCTTATGAATTTGTTAAGGATTTCTTGAAAGCAACACAACTTTTTCACAAATGACCCATGAAAATCAACATTTATGCCACCGCCAATAAGTTTGCTTGTGTTTTACATTCTTCGATTTTCAATCTATATTTCCTTGGATATAACTTTATTTTGGTAAATTTAGCAATGAGCAAACATTTAAATGCAAAACTCATAAAAAAATCTCGGCCAAGCTCGATCTGAAGAATCACTTTTTTTATTGTAAAATAATTAGTCAAATCGAAGTTTTACGAGGGTAGACTTAATTTTTTCGATGTTTTCACGTACATTTCACATAAAATTTAATAAGGCACTTAAAACTAGGCCACTTAAGAAAAACTATTGTAATAAATGTGGATATTCAACAAAATTTTGATACCATCAGTTTCTATTTAAATTATTTTGATAAGATCGGATTCATAAATCCTTTTCTATCTAGATTGATGCTTTCCTAGTAGATTTAGCAAGCGGCTAGGGGAAATGGCTCAGAAAGGATTTTTATTTTTGCTAAATAGCTTTATTGTAGCTTTCAAAAGGTTCTCAATACGTTCGTCATACAACCCTTTGCAGGAAATCAATCTTGAAGAACTTCGAGAATGCACCCTTCAAGACCTTCTCCAGGGTGGGCCAACTAGACATATTCTAGTCTTATTGAGGTTTTGGTGGATGCATTAATGACAAAATAGCCTGGATGCTGTTTTATAGTTGCTTTGTAGTAGTTCATAAAACTTAAAATGTTACTTGGGTATCGAGGTGCATAGAATTTCGAATGATGAGACTTTAAAACAAATGTCCAACAACATAATTAATAATTTCAGGAAAACACTCGACCCGTTACAAGATTGAGAAACGCTGAATTAGACAATTTTTCATCCAAAAAAGAAGAAAGTGAGATACAAGCTTCATTTGGCAACTAATTGGCTCAATGTGCAGAAAGATTGTACGGACTAAGAGTGATTTTGAAATAAATTTACGTATCCGATTACATATTCTAACATTTCAGCAATCACCCACAAAACCTTCATTCCAACCATTTCCAACTTAACCTCCCAATGTGGCAATTTACAAACATTCCAGCACATTAAAAGTTTAATCACTCAAAATACCAGCTGATCCCTCACCCCTCCCAGTTCCTCAGCCCCACTACATTCAAATAATTTCCACACTTACCTTTCGGTGGGTTGACGCTGATGGCGCTCCGGAACAGACTTTCCTCGTCCTGCCAGTCCAGATTGCGCAGCAAAGTTTTCCCACTGTACACTAGCAGCATCGCACCGAAGCACACCAGAATGATTTGTCGCTTACGCTGTTGATAATCACTAGCACTAGCATCACTATTTCTACTACGGATTCTACCACCACCCCCCAATGCCTTCCGTCTGCCCCCGCCGACAATTTCCACCGACCCACCACCGCCACTGCTGCCATTGTTGGCACTTTTTCGCGCTGTTGCAGAGATTGCGGTGCCACTGGTGCCGTTGCTAGCGGTGTTGGGATTGGAGGAATGACTTTTATGATGTCTCGCACTTAGACCTGTGCTGCCATTGGCACGGTACTTATATCTATCACCATCGCTGATGAAACTTTTGCTGCTCTTCGCTCGAAAGCCACTATTACCACTAATGCGCTGGGAGCCCGAGCTCGGCGACGGGGGGCTCCCGTCGATAAGTTTGCTCACGCCCAAACCAATCAGCAGGCAATAGCCAACGCTGGGGAGGTAGAGGATGCGCTCGGCCACTACGAAGCCGACGTAGAACAGGAGATTGGTCGCTGGGAGGAAGGGCAGGATTAGCAGGGAAATGGAGATAAGGATCGCTGCTGAGGAATTGAATTTGGCAGTTGCGTCCTCGTAGGACAACGACGACACAGACGATGCCGAGGAGGTCGAGGACGAAAATGAAGATGACGAAGAACTGGTTGAGGAAGATGAGGAAGAAGACGATGAAGATGAGGACGATGACGTTCGGGATATACTGAACGGCAGATGGTCGCTGCTGAATCCATTGGCGGCGTGCTTGTCTCGGTTCCAACAGTGCTTTTTATGCGTCCAATATCCGTTGCCGGCTGCTGCCGGAGCGGTCAATTTGTGGTCGTCCATTCGATGGAGGAACGTAGTCAAAGATGAAGGCGATAGTGATAAATATTTACACGACGGATACACGCATCCGCAAATGATAGAAGACATACTGTTGTTGTTGTGCAAGGCTCGGCACTGATTGGAATGATGTAGACCGAATTCGTGCTTACAGTATCCACACGAATCGTTCAGCTCACCATGCGGCTGTCCCCCCGGGTTCGTCCGGGCCATCACAAGTTTACTAGCTAGTTTTCTACTGAAGCTACTATTTACACTGGGCAGACTCTGTTTCATCAGCGTCTGTACGTTGAACCACACGGCCATTGTTAGCGTTCCGTAGAATAGAGCCGAAAGCACGTTCTTTCCGTCGAAGAGACTGCTGATCCGGGGGATTGCATCCATGCCCCAGTCAAAGCTCAGCACGTTCGGGTAGAGCAACAGCCGGAAATTGACCACTGGTAGGTAGGAGAACGTTAGAAACCGGGTCCAGCTGGAACCGGTTTTCGCTGTTGGATTGTCCGCCGTGGAAAACAGGACTGCTGGTTGAGGTAGCGAGAGACGTGCATGTAGGATACTACCCAGGGCCAGCGCTAGAATTCCCACACTTCGGAAGCGGTGCTGAAATTGAAAGGAGAAAAGAAACCGCTCAATTAATCTGTAGTAGATAATCAACAAATTATAAATCGGGTAAATTCAGCCTAGATATACTTCGTGAACAAATCCCACTTGACTAGGGAAACAAATCAAACAACTCACTTATCCACCTACTGTCTCGGTCTCGCCCACCGCCAAAAGGCAAACACTATCGGTGGGTAAAACCGAAGTATGAATAATTCAGTCCCATCATAATACGGCAGCGGGGCCGTAGCTAAAAAATGCCTTCCGCTGCTATGATCATGACAATACCATGATGATGATGATGATGATGATAATCGTGTTGATTCAGGGGCAGGTAAATGAAAAAGTAATCACTTACTCCCCTCACCAATACCTGCGCTTCTTCAGTTTATTTTCCATTTTTTTCTTCTCCCGAGCTTCCCTCACAAAAATATGGCACAAAATCCCGTCCCCCATCCCTTAAGCCGGACCGGCGGGACGGGGGAAGATTGCAATAAAATAATTTCGTTCGATTTGTTTACCTTTGTTCTCGAATTTATTCTGCCCCGGTAGGGCACCTCGCCGCGCATTCGTCACGCCTCTCACCAACCAAGTCGCAGAATTGCCAGAGCGTGGCAATACCAAATCCGAATGTAGGAATCGGACGGGCACACACACACAAACACAATTGATGGGGCAGCAGTTGTGATTGGGTCGGGAAATGAACTGCCAGCCAGCACTCGATTACGGTAATGATGGCAATAGGCCAAATACCATCGGCGGTTGCGGGTCTTCGACTCCGGACCAATTGGTTGGTCGGTAGGTCTTTTGATTTAATGCTTGCCATTTTGGAGTGCTCTCCGGTGTGGATGGTGAGTCTCCAGGTGCGAGGTCGGATCATTTTTGAAGGTTGAAAGTGCATGCAACTTTGGGCTATGAGAAATCAATCGTTGCATCAAGCACAGGCGTCGGTGGTTGAGGAGGGAATGGATTTTATTGGAGATAGTTTTTTGAAGCAATTTTTTCCAGAGCTATGGAGTGCTTTTTCTTGAGATTTTACCGATTCCATCCCACGGGGTCATAAAACGCGAAATCAGTCGACAGAAGCAACTGTGTTTTTCGTCGGCCGCAGTCAACAATACTTATCTATGTGCGGTGATCATTGCTCATCACCTGCTCGGTCAATCCTCGATCAAACATGGTATTGCAATAATTAGGCCTCTCCAGAATTATCTAGGCTCTCCCCTTCCAGGAGTTTTGGATGTTTTTCATTTTTAGTTAATTTGTATGAAAGTCTACTTTTATTAATGTTCTAGACTAGAAGAAACAATGTCGATAGCATAACAAGACGTTGGCAGGCTCTACAAATTGGAAAAGAGATTAGGGATTTTTCTTTTACCACAGGGAACTTCGTAAAACTTTAAGGACTTCTAAGAAGTTCAGGGAACATCGTAGAAATTAACGAAAGTTAAGAGAAATTCTGGGAACTTTATAAAGCTTCAGAAAAATTCGTAGAAACTCAGGGAACTTTGGAAAAGTTCAGAAAACTGCGTAGAAGTGCACACTTAGAAAAATTCATGTAAATTTTGGTGCTCTGAGACTGACATATACGAGCGTCAATTTTGACATAAATTTGAGCCATAACAGACGCGAAATATAGCTCAATCAAACGTACTTTTCGTCGAGCAACGAACTTTTCAGTCTCGGAGCACTTAATATGACATGACATGTTTGTTTACGTCTCATATTTTATGTCAAAGATGGATTCCGTCACGTGTAAAATCAGTAATTTCTAAGTGTGTGGGAACTCTATTCAAATTTTGGGATCTTCATAGAAGTTAAACATTATTTAATTCCATGGAACCTCATTAATGTTTTGGGATCTTCATATGATTTAAGGTTACTTTTTTGAAGCCTCGTGAACTTGGAATATTTTAGTGAAATAGAGCAGCAGCAAACTTCGTAGAAGTTTTCGGAATTTCAAATTTTGAGAAGCTGCATAAAACTTCATATAAGTGCCGGGAATTTTGAAGAAGATCTAAAAATAGGTCAGCAAGCTTCTAAGATCTTCAGAGAAGATTGCAGTAGGTTCAGCCTACGGCCGGTTGGGTTTTAATGAGCTGTCACTAATTTAAAGACAGGAGCACATACCGTGGTAGAGGTAACAATAGCTGCAATTTCCAAACCTACGACTGGATGCATTCCTTCAGATAACAACTTGAGTACGGTAAAAATCGATACAACTGTTTCAAACACTTTGTTGGTACTTGAGCGTGTCAGTGATCATCTCTTTTTGCCAGTGGTGGTGGGGAGGGAATACCCCTCACCATCCCTCTCTAACGGGGGATTTAGGTAAAGAGAGATGATCAAACCGATTTGTACCTGTATAAAGTTCTTCTTGCTCGCTTTCTACTCTCTATACAATTTTCACACTGCCGTACTCTAACGGAACTATCAATTCTATGCTTTCATCCCCTCATCTATCGTATAAAAATTACCTCTTTAGTCTGTTATTTGAAATTAGCATCTTCAACTATGTAAATCGTTGACTTCACGCAGAAGTAATACAAAACATATAGTCAAAGTGAAAATTTAAAGTTAATTAAGTTAATTATGTATAAAGATAACTTATAAAACTAGCGATTTATAGAAATTCGAATAATTATGGACACTTAAAAATTACTCAAAATTGTAGAACAAGAACTTTTCGTCTAACTTTTGAACTTTTTTAATACACTGTTTTTGAGTAATTTTTCACAGAAAATGATTTGAAATACCTTCAACCAGGGCTGGAAAGCACTTCAGAACGTTAGCAAAGCAACTTTGTGCATGCATCTCACAACACTCGACCAAGAGTGTGTGGTTCTCCCATTCATTTCGCACACTCTTTTCCAACTAATCTGTGAGAAAGTGATCCATACAATGAGCGGTACACTCCATGTAGCGCAGGGAACGAATATAACACAACAAGCGCTGATGTGAATTCTTTGTAGACTTTGCTAACCACGAGTGCATGAATAGGAGATGAAGAAGGGCATAACAAAGAAGAATTTAGTATTTTTGCTGTGTTCCCCATTTGAAACCCTACACTGAGTGGCACTTTTTGCGTCGGAGCCGTGGGAGCGATGGTTACACATTGAACTTTAGTTATTTCTGGGTGTGTGTCTGTCTTCTCTTCTTCGCTGCTTTACACTTGCGCAGGATGAAAACAAGCTAACTTTGTATGTTTCCGAAAATCAGTACATTGCTTTTCTTCTTCTTACATACATACATTTATTTGTATTACATCACATTTGAGATAAGACATAATCAACAATAGTACGCCACAATACTCGGTTTGCGGCTGCGCTCTCCATCCTCGGTCATGCCCAATGCTCGCTAGATCACACTCCACCTGGTCCACCCATCGTGCTCTCTGCGCTCCACGCCTTCTTATGCCAACCGGATCTGTAGCGAACACCAACTTAGCAGGGTTGCTGTCCGGCATTCTTGCAACATGCCCTGCCCATCGTATCCTTCCGGCTTTGGCCACCTTCTGGATGCTGGATTTTCCGCAGAGTACAGCGAGCTCGTGGTTCATTCTTCGCCGCCACTCACCGTTCTCCTACACACCAGCGAAGATAGTCCTTAGCACACGTCACTCGAAAACTCCGAGTGCTTGCAGGTCCTCCTCGAGCATAGTCCATGTCTCGTGTCCATAGAGGACCACCGGTCTTATAAGCGTTCTGTACATGGTACATTTGGTGCGGGGGTGAATCTTTTTTGACCGTAGTTTCTTCTGTAGTCCGTAGTAGGCACGACTTCCACTGATGATGCGCCTTTGTATTTCACGACTCACATTGTTGTTAGCCGTCAGTAAGGATCCAAGGTAAACGAATTCCTCCACTACGTCAAAAGTATCCCCGTCTATCGTGACATTACTTCCTAGACGAATCCTGTCATGTTCGGTTCCGCCTACTAGCATGTACTTTGTTTTTGATGCACTCACCACCAGTCCGACCTTTGCTGCTTCGTGTTTTAGGCGGGTGTATAGTTCTGCCACCGTTGCAAATGTTCTTGCGATAATGTCCATGTCGTCCGCAAAACCGGATTTCGTGAAAATCGTACCCCGGCTGTTGAGCCCGGCTCGTCGTATTACACCTTCTAGAGCGATGCTGAAGAGTAGGCATGAGAGTCCGTCACCTTGTCGCAGTCCCCGGCGAGATTCGAATGAACTGGATAGTTCACCCGACCCCCTTACGCAGTTTCGCGCACCGTCCATCGTTGCTCTGATCAGTCTTCCCAGAAAGCCGTTCTCGTCCATGATTTTCCATAGCTCTGTGCGGTTGTATGCCGCCTTAAAGTCAATGAACAAATGATGCGTTGGGACCTGGTATTCACGGCATTTCTGGAGGATTTGCCGTACGGTGAAGATCTGGTCCGTTGTCGATCGGCCGTCGATGAAGCCGACTTGATAACTTCCCACGAACTCGGTCATTTTAGGTGATAGACGACGGAAGATGATCTGGGATAGCACTTTGTAGGCGGCATTCAAAATTGTGATCGCTCTGAAGTTCGCACATTCCAAATAGTCGCCTTTCTTGTGAATGAGGCAGATTACCCCCTCCTGCCACTCCTCCGGTAGTTGTTCTGTTTCCCAGATCCTGACTATCATCCGGTACAGGCAGGTGGCCAACTTTTCTGGGCCCATCTTGATGAGTTCCTCTGCTGCACTGGCGTAGTAGTTTCCTCCATTGCGCTGGTCTCCCGTGCCTACGTTCTTTTCGCCATTCAGGTACGCATAGAAGTGTGCTTCCACCTTTCAATCACCTCACGTCCGTCCGTCCGTCAAGAGGCTCTCGTCCTTATCCTTGCACATTTCGGCTCGCGGCTCGAAGCCGTTGCGGGATGCGTTGAGCTTCTGGTAGAACTTCCGTGTTTCTTGGGAACGGCACAGCAGTTCCATTTCCTCGCACTCCGCTTCTTCCGGGCGGTGTTTTTTCTCCCGAAAGATGCGGGTCTGCTGTTTCCGCTTCTGTTTA